GGAGGGGAGAGGGTTCGGCCAGATAGTTCAGTGAAATGAAGTGCCCCCTTAGGCAAGCATAGGGACCGGGTCCGGTCCCCCAGGCATGCCATGCCAGCTTTGCTCCAGGGTGTGCTGAAAGATGACTGAAACATGGCATGGTGGCACATGCCTGTAATCCCAGCACTTGGAAGGCTGAAAACAGGAGGATCACGACGAGTCTGATCTGTGTAGTTAGACCCTGTACTAAATATATTCTTAAAAAGACTAGATAAAAACACGAATTGGAAAGATCCACATTGTGAATCTGTAATATTTTCGTAAGAAATAACATGATACATTGAGAACAACTGGGTGAGCAAGAATATACCAAGCAAAATATTTCCGAGCATAAAACACCCAAGAATTACTCAGGGCAGGAGTAATCACTCCCCACCTGAAGAGCCCGGCAGCACGCACAGGCGGCGTGGCCAGCCCCCCTGGAGCTCCTCAGCCCTGCTGTCCTGGGGAAGCGCAGTCGCCCGCCATAAGAAGTGCGCGTCACTCAGACTTACAAAACAGGTAGAAGCTGGATCTTACGGGGAAAATGGGATAGCACATGCTGCTTAAAGGTATGATTCATAAATAATTAGTAGTATGTCTTTATAGGCCCAACATAAAGGGCAGATATCTCAGAAATAAGAAATGAAGGGGGCTGGGGAGATAGCTCAGCAGTCTAAGCGCCTGCCTGGCAATTGCAGGGACCTGGGTTGATCCCCAGTGCCACAAGCCATGCCAGCCCCGCCCCTGGCTCCTCAAGCTGGCCCTGAAACCAGGCACAGTAGCACATGCCTGTAATCCCAGCGCTGGAGAAGCTGAAACAGGAGGATCACTAGGAGTCCGGGCTGCAAAGGGAGAATCTGTACCAAGTATCTAAATTTTAAAAAGAGAAAGAAATACAGAGTGTATTTCTCTGAAAGAAATACAGTTTTCAAAGTTTACCCAGGCATGGTGGTGCGTGCCTGTAATCGCAGCACTTGGAGGCCGAGGCAAGAGGATCACAGGAAGTTTGAGGCCAGCCTGAACCACACCAGCCCTGCCACCCAGTGCGCTGAGCCACCTAGACTGGCATGGTGGCGCACACTGTAATCCCAGCGCTGGGGAGGCTGCGAACAGGAGGCTCACTAGGACTCGGAGCGCAGCGAGACCCTGCAACAACAACGTACTGGTTGATACACTGTGTCAGCTTGAGAGGCTCAGAAGTTGAGGTGGCTCAGCAGAGGGCCAGGGTTCTCGTCCTGTGCACGAGGAGGGCATGGACACTGCCTGAGTCCTACGTGCCCCGCCCCGGGTAGCGTGTTTATAAGGAGGGGAGAGGCTGGCTAGGAGCACTCTTTGCTGCTTCCTGCTGCCATGCACCGCTGCCCTCTGCCCTGTGTCACTCCACCTCGGAGCCAGCCAAGTACGGACTGAAACCCCCACACGCTGTGAGCTAAATAAACCTTGCTTTCCTTAATTTTGGGTGTTGGGTATTTTGTCCCAGCAACAAGTAAAAAGTAACTGAGACAACCAAATACATTTTTTTAAAAAAAGTTAAACAAACAACAAAAAAAACCCAACCAGCCTGAACTACACAGTGAGTCCTTGTCTAAAAACAAAAAACGAAGAACAGTTCAAGGAATACACAAAACTCAGTCCTTTAGTCAGCCACAAAGAACATCAAATGTTTAAAAAGTAGTAATTTCAGGTCATTTTGCTCATGATAAAATGCAACACCACTTAGGATGCTTTTGGCTAATAATTTACAAAATGGCCAACTAAAAGTAACTCCATCAACAAAAGTTTTTCTTACACAACAAAGCATCAAAGGGGCAGCTTCTGAGGTGGTTGCCCCTTCCTGGTTCCAAGGTATCCACCAGCATCATCTTATCACGGGGAGTGCTTTGAAAGCAGGATGGAAGTGGGAGGGCGTCTCCACAATCTCTCCCTGAATGAAGAAAATTCTTCCCAGAAGCCCTAGCAGCTTCCCCTGCCAACCCTGGGAGAAAATGGGCACTGAGCAACATGGAGATTAGAAAATTACAATCTTTTTTTTTTTTCCTTTTGACTTCAGCTATTGCTGTGTAGTTTGGACTAGCCTTGAACTTGCTTATGTAGCCCAGGCTGGCCTCAAACTCCAGCAATCATGCTGCCTCAGCCTCCTGAGTGCTGAGATTACAGGCCTGTGCCACCATGCCTGGTGGAAAATTAGAATCTTACATCTTCAGATTCTAGGTCAAGACACAGATGCTGGGCCGGGGAGATGGCTCAGTAGAATACGCGCTTCCCTGGCAAGCGCAAGGGCCTGAGTTCAATCGCCCAATCTGCCAAAAAATAAAACCAAACAAACAAAAAAGAGACATAGCTCCTGCCAGTAAGAACTGAGTAAAGCTGCTGTGTAGGCAAGCAAGCCATAAAAGGCAACGCACGGCAACTTAACAATGTAGAAGTCAAGAAATACGCTCTCAAATTTGAATGACTCCTGAAACAGGAAGAACTGAGATTATTATAAAATGACTGATCACCCTTATGTCATAATTTTCTGTTTTTATTTTCTATTCACATGTTGCTTATGCCTGGGCATCTGGCGGTCCTGAACAGGACATTTCGTGGGTGTAAGCACAGTCTCAGATTTCCATATCCTGCACACATTGAAAGGTGACAAAAGTGAAAGGTCATTTCACCTCTCTACGTGTGAAACTCTCCATTCACTCTTTTCAGTGTTGGTGTATTCCCTATTAATCCAACAGCATTTGGTTATTTTTTTTCCTGAGAAAATTAAAACTTGACTTGTGAAAATAAGCCTTGATTAGAAAATGTAATTCTGGAATGGGTCAGGGATCCCTCTCCAACCGCCCCTGCTTCCATGACTACTGTAGTAGAAACAACTTCTATAAATGTCTTCCATGAAGTGTTCTGGTAGGATGAAGAATGACCTCAGCAGGAAGCATTCTCTTCTGCACACAGTTCACAGGTCTCTCTCTAAGATGCAGGAGTTAGCTGTGACCAGCCGGGCAGGGGTGGCGACCCTATGGCACGCGTGCTGCCGCGATGTTTGTATCAGTGCAAGCCCAAAACTGGGCGGGCAAACCTTTCAGGGTGCTAACGAGCAGCCTGCCTTGCCACACACACACTGCAGGCTCGCCACCCCAGGCCTAGGCTAACGGGCTCTCCCCGTTGCTTCTGTTCATGTGGCTGCTTGCCAACATAAACTCTCTAATGATGAACTCGCTAAAGCTGATGGCAGGCTTTTCTACGCTGATTACACTCGTGTGTGTGTCTCCACTGTGCAGTCTCTGACGCTGAAGAGGAGTCGAGTCATGACTTAAGATCCCCCTGCCCTCCTTATGCCCACAGGGCTTTTCCTCCGGATGGACTTCCTGATGCTGAATCAGCTGTGAACAGTGACTGAAGGCTTTTCCACACGCCTTGCATTCGTATGGCTTCCTACCTGTGTGGATCCTGTAGTGGACGCTGAGGTGGGAGACGCGCGTGAAGGCCCTGCCGCAGACCTTACACTGGTACGGTTTCTCTCCAGTGTGAATTCTCTGGTGCTGTCTGAGCTGGGAGCTCACCCTGAAGGTCTTTCCACACACTTCACATTTGTAGGGTTTCTCACCGGTGTGAATTCTCTGATGGCGAATAAGAGTGGATCCTTGATTAAAAGCCTTCCCACACTCTTTACATTCATAAAGCTTCCTGCCAGTGTGAACGGTCTGGTGTTGGATGAGCTGCGAGCGGTGACTGAAGGTTTTCCCACAGTCCTCACATGAGTAAGGTTTCTCCCCAGTGTGGATTCTGCAGTGAACCTTAAGATGTGAGATGCGATTGAAAGCCCTGCTGCACTCTTTGCACTGATAGGGCTTTTCCCCAGTGTGGATCCGCTGGTGCTCGATGAGCTGCGAGCTGCGACTGAAGGCCTTTGCGCAGTCCTTACACTCGTACGGTTTCTCCCCCGTGTGGACTCTCTGGTGTTGGATGAAATTTGAAGCGGAATTGAAGGCCTTTCCACACTGCTTACACTCGTAAGGTTTCTTCCCCGAATGGATGTTCTCATGCTGAATGAGTCGTGAGCCATATTTGAAGGCTTTCCCACATTCCTTACATTTATAGGGTTTCTCGTTCAGATGAACGCCTTGATGGTTAATAAGGAATTCCTCTTGCCAGAAGTCTTCTCTGCATGTACGATAGTCACAAGCTTTTCCTCCATTTTGGACTTTTCGATAAAATGTAAGGGACGCTTGCTGCGTGAACATGGGCGGCTCCTTGCAACTGTCTAACATCTGGCTGAAACGTCTGTCTGGGTTTCCCGGTTGTTTGTCAGGTTGGCCTTTGCGTTCATGGTCACCCTGGGAGCGCGAGCACTCCACATCGTAGCTTGTCAGGCAGCCCAGGGTCTCCCACAGGGGAGACTCGGCGTCACGAACATCCCGCTTTGGAGATGGCACTTTGGTGTAACATTCGGAGTCTGATACTGCAAAAGAACAAATAAAGTATTGGCTCAACAACTAGAAAGTGGGGCAGTGAATTTACTGAGAAAAAAGTAATAGCATAACGAGAGGAGGGAGGTAATCAAAGAGAGAAGTTACGAGTAGTTCTAAAACGTTAGCGTAGCTCCAATTCACCTCTCAACCATGCTTTTTATTTAAAGAAACACAATGAATTTCTCTGAGACTATGAAAAAGTGCAATCCTGTGAGCACATTCTGCACACCACGGGCTGCCTGGAGAGGGGCAGTGTGGAAGGAGCACGAAGGAGCCCAGGGGCTCTCAGGGTGCCGGGCCGTGCTCTGTCCTGGGGTGGCGACGGCGCAAGGGTGTATCCATCTGTCCTCAGGCACACTGCACTGACCAAACACATTTTACTGAACATACATTACACCTCCCTGAAGTACACTTCGGAAAATCAGAGATGTCACAGAATGCAAATGTCCTGCACATGGATGTGGCAACGGTTGTGCAAACAATGGGACTGCACTTAACACTACCGAACTTACACATAACATGGTTAAAGTAGTAATTCTGGGATGTGTATCCTACAATTTAAAGAACTAAAAATGAAGAAGTAACAGGAGCAGCATATGGCTAGGTCTGCATCCTGCCTCAGCACAGATGTGGGAGAAACAAGGAGCCAGAGGACAGGTGGGCACGTCTGTGTGCGGCGTGCTGGAGGTGGCCTGGCTTCCGCCCTGTACGCAGAGTGGAAACGTCACGCCTCATCCACTGCGCTGCTCTGTGGCGGGCTCTCCGAAGCTTAGCTGACAGCAGCAGTACTGACTGGCTTTTCCTTGACTTCCCATTGCCTAACGGTGACTCTGAAAGGACGGGACTTGCTCCTCGCGTACAGGGTCAGAGCTGACTTGTGGGCAGTGAGCCCCGCCTGCAGCAGGGTGCCTTGCTGCTTACTCAAACCGCAAGCAGAAGTTGCACAGTAAGCAGAATCCAGATTCAATATGTCCATGGGGGCAGGGGCAGGGGCAGGGGCAGGACATAGTGCAGTTGTAGTGGCCGGATTTATTGTCCACAGGAGACTGAGTTATAGGAATAACGGAATATCTATTAGCCAGTGACTATGTGCTCCTCTCTCCAAATTGGAAGAACACAAGGGCCCAGTTCTTGGTCCCCCTTACGCTTACATAGGTTCCCAGGTTGCTATGGTAACCAGGCTAGGATGTCCTGCCTACCTGTGCGTGCAGTCATCGCCCAGGTAGTGAGATTTGCGGATACATGTGGGCACATGGTTTGGCTCTTCCTTTGATTGCCCCTGCTCCCTCCCTTACCTCCTCCACGCCTGTGAAGTTTTGACAGGGCAAGCGAAAGAGTAAGGGGAAATCTAGGCAAGGCCAGTGAGGAGGTGGCCGGCCCACATGTCCTCTGCCTAAACCCTTCTGCCAGGAGTCAGACTACGCGGATTTCTGCCTCAGTCTTTCCTACTTCTCAGGTGAACAGAATACTATGCTAGGGACGCTATCCCCTACCCAGTGAGAGCCCCCACCTACTCAACTTCAGAAGATCACGTACAGCTTGATGCAAGGAATCCTGGGAGAAAGATGAGTGCTTCCGAGAGTGCTCCTAGCGTACTGGGCAGAGGGCCTTAGGGAACTGCACAAGTGCATGTGTGCTTCAGAGGGTGACGTGTGCTCATTCTGTTATGTGTGAAAGGACTGAGCAAAAGTGGCTAGAAGATCAGATGGCTTCTACAATGGAAGATAAGGAGAAAGAAGCAGCATCAGGTTTGGGGATAATGCTGCTGGCTGCTGGCACCTCGAAAACGTTCTCACGATGCCAATGAAACTACAGGACACTGAGAACCAGACACTGTGCTCGGTTGTCAAGAGGAAGGCTCTGGCTCACTGCTGTAGCCTGTGACCCTCCGGCGGGGCAGACACTGGGGAGCCACTGCAGCGGCCACCGAGGTACAGATCTACTCAGTGGTCAGGACATCTGGCTGCCAACGCGCAAAATCACAGAATGAGCGAGCCCAAGAGTGCGGCGGGCCGGGGACCATGGAAGCCCGCTGGGAGGACAGAAGACACACAGTCTGCGAGCAGCTACTTATTATACCCAAGAGCACATTTCGTGGTGGGAACGCCTGTCTTATTCTTGTTTGTTTGCTTGTCTGTTTTGCTAATACGGAAAAGTCCTCGGCTGCTTCGTGGAGACGGCTTTAAAGGCGCTCCTTTCTCCCAGCGCCCTCCTCTGCCATATGCTGCCCGCGCGTCGAGGCGTGCTGATTTACGACAGAATATAGTGTTTGCTCCACGAGCACTCCGAAGTAAAGCCAACTCTAGCCAGTGAGAACTGGGTGAAACCTCCCCAGAGACTACACAGTCCTATTTTCTAGCTTCTGGCTTTGTTTACCTCCTTGTGAAGCGGTAAGGTAGCAACACCAGCCCCAAGGCCTTCTGTCTTCTCCTGTTTCCTGACAAGGTCTGGCCTATGAAGTTAATTATTTGGGTGTTAGTCACTATTTTGAACAGTCAATGGAACAATGTCTACAAATCTAAGACTAGATTCTGGTTTCCACTTCAAACAAGTGATTGCTATTTAGTTTTAAATTTAAATGTTCAAATTGTTAGGACATAAAACTTAAATGGTAATGATTGAGGACAATTAACAGTTGGGGGCAATAATCCAACGCTGGTTCCGGGTCCTTCCAGTGCCATTAGCTCATACCCTACCTATCTGATCCTGTAGTGCAGAAGAAAGGGTTGGTAATTTATCAGTTATGAACCTGGATGTCCACCTCCTTGTCATACCTCGTGCTATACTCTGTCCCACGAATGGTCGTAGGTTCCAAGTGTGGCTCCCGCTCTAGTGGTACTGAGACGGGGGACTGTGGTGGGGGTGTGGCTCATGGTAGAGGGCTTGCCTAGCGTGAAGCCCTGGGCCTGATTCAGTGCTGGACAAAGAAGAGGCAGGGCCTAGCGGGAGGTGACTAAACCCAAGGAAGCAATCCTCAGGAAGGACTGACGCAGTCTCTTGGGACTGCTTCAGGGCTCCTGCACCTACCTCAGTTCTCACAAAAGAGGTTATGAGGCGAGGGCACCCCACATGCTTGGCCCCTACGTGACGCAGCCAGTTCCCTTCCCACCCCTCCACCATGTTGGGACGTGCAGCTCGAGGGGCTGTTTGGACTGAACGGCAAGCACAATAAATCTCTTTCCTTTGTAAACTGCTGTGACAGTTAAGCTGGACTTCCCATTTGGCTGACTTCAGAGCTACCTAGGACACTGGTAAGGCACGTTCTGGGAGCATCTGGGTGGATCATAGAAGGGACGGCAGAGGAAAGACAGCTCAGGCCTGGGTGGCTGAAGCAGAGGTGCTCACAGGGCAAGAGAAGACCTGTGGAGACTACAGGCTTCGGGGAGACACAGCTGCCCCGCGGCCCTGTCTCATCCTTGTCCTTGCAAGAAAGCTTTGTGCTTCCGTCATAGTAGCCATTGCTGTTCCCGGAAACACCCACGGCCTTCACCATTGTCCTGACTCAGATGCAGTCAATAAATATCAAGGTTCTGGGTGCCTTGTGGCCTTTTGTTCCACAAGAACAACTAGTAACCCAGATCTCTGCCGCACCCCTATCCTGTCTCTTGCCGTTTCTTCCTACTGCATGCCCTAATTCAGGCAGGCAATCAGGGACTGACTGCAAGGGTCTACAATAAAGATTTGAAAAACTTCAATTTTGGCTTGAAAGGAACCACATGTAAAGTTGAGGCCAAATGAGCTGTGTTTGTTTAAGAGATCAGCCCCATTAAAAGAAACCAATGCTTTGGGGAAAAGATGCCTTGAGACGCTTCAGGAACTGGCACGATCCCACCCGCTGCTGGCTGAAGGATGCAAAAGCATAAGCCTTTCACTTGAGAAGAGAGCCCCTGAGCTGCACGCTCGGGAAGGCCCGTCTAGGGCATTCCCGGGATTCACTCCACGCCGCTCAGCCACTCAGGTAGTCGGGTCCCACTGTGGCCCCAGGGAGCCCGGCTGCTGCCCAGCTGGGGCGGGGGGCAGGCCCTGGCCTCGTCCGTGAGATTCTGATTTTTAGGCATGTGGAATGCATGAGTTGGCAGCCAATGAGCTCTCCACACAGGTTACAAAGGAAAGACTAGGAGGCCAGGCAAGGTGCCCAAGAGAGGACCATCTGAAACTGTGGGAATGCAGCTGAAGGCGCAGCGGGCGTCCCAGAAGTCTGAAGTTCCAGGAGCATGGACTACCCGCCGAGGACAGCTGCAGGCAGCAGGCAGAGCCGGCTCGGGAGACCGTGTGGTCGCTGACCCTTCTGCCTCGGCCTTCCAGCCGGCTGGAAGTGCAGATCTGCAGGACCACAGCGAGCGCTGCTCCAGCAGGCAGCAACACTCAGGCAGCGACGCACTCGCGAAGCCAGGGCTTCCAGCAGCTCTCCTCAGCTCGCCGCTCATCTGAGGCCTGGCAGGGCTAGGCTTCTGGGAGCCTACACAGAGCTTCTCAAGCATCTCTGCAAACTATGTACCACTAAAGTTTCGTCTTAATTCTTACTACTCAGGTAACTGTGCAGCCAACTCCACCACACGCGGCCCACAAGGCACCGACTTGTCACTTCAAAACCAGGCTACGCTAACACGAGATGATCCGGCTGCAGCTTTTGATTTCTAGAAAAACCTACTGAAAATATATAACTTATTACATTAAGTCCAACAGTCTGGGTTAAAAGAAAATAATAGTAGCCAGGTGAGGTAATTCCGGCCTATAATCCCAGAGCTCTTAAGAGGCTGAGGCAGGAAGATCACAGATTTAAACCCAGCCTATGCAAAGTTAGTAAGACCTGGGGCTGGGAAGATAGCTCAGCGGCATAAGCGCCTGGCTGGCAAGCAGAAGGACCTGAGTTCAGTCCCCAGTATTGCATGTTGTGTGTGCCAGCCACTAAAACCAGAAGTGGTGGCACATGCCTGTAATCCCAGCATTGGGGAGGCTGAGACAAGAGGATCACTGAGTCTGAGCTGCA